AGTGATCGAAAGAATCCGACTAAATAGGATGACAAAGTGAGTCATCTATCCTTTCACTGAATCTCTCCCTCTCTCTTTCTCCTTTACTCTGAAAGACGCAAGTGATAACGTAGACACCCCCATGCATACATGCACACATACATACATACATCAGAGGGGAAGAAAGGATACACGTGAACACACACGAACTGAACAGCAAGATTAGAGATCCCGATCACGAAGATATGTTTCAAAAACGAAAACACCACAAACAAACAAACAAACCAACAAAGAATCAATCGTGAAAACACTTTTTTTTCTAAAAAAACAACAACTCCACACTGAATCATCAGTATATGAGATCAATTGAAGCTTGTATTTTTATGTGAATTGTTCTGATTACAATACAATAAGAACAAACGCACACACTCACACACACACACTAACAAACAAGTGGATCAAGTACAAAGTTCATTTCATAGTGATAATCTTGTTATAATTTTGGTCCGCGTACAAATTATAGTAGTAATAATAATAACAATAATGATAGCAATAATAATAATAACAAAACTTAACAAACTATTCCTGTAACTGATGTGGAAAGAGAGGCGGGGGGGGGGGCAGAGTGCGTGTGTGTTTGGAGTCTGTGACTGCTGCTCTGATGAATAATCAAAATGATGTATGTTATAGTGTGTGTGTAGATTTAATTAGAAAATAGAACTGGGCAAGGGGGATTTTATTACTGTTCTTGAAGACTTCCACGGCAATGATGAGGATCATGATGATGTGTATAGGCGTGAGAAGACAATTGGGGAGGATATGCTAATAGATGTCGTAAAAAGGATGGAGTTATTTTTAACATTATTATTATTGTTGTTGTTGTTAATAGGTTATCCTTTACTCTTTTTCTTCTTGTGTCCTTCACGTGATCGTAGTAATTTCATTAACACTTTGAATTCTTTCGTCGTTGTTGTTGTTGGTGGTGGTGGTTTTTTTGTCCGGGGGAAAAGACAGACGTTGAGAAGGGAAAAAAAATGTAAAAAAACCCAATCAAGGCAAATAGAGGGAATATGGCAACAACAAAAAGTAAAAAAAAGAGACTAGACATCACAGCCTCCAATGCCTCAGGATGGTCGGGGGTGGGTGGCTTGCGCTGCGGGTTGGCCACCCCTCCGCACACCTCTTGAAATGCTCCCATATGACTGGGCGTCTTACATAGCCACTTCTGAGGAAGTCCTACTCACTGCCTTCACGTGGCGGAGATGTTTTTCACCAAAGTGAGAGGGCGAAAGCGGATGCCCGGCGCTCTTCACCGGGTTGACTGTCCATTGGATGACAGTCTAGGGGAGATGGCTAAACCATGATTCCAAACCTCCAATGACTGGCGTATGAAGCTCACTGGAGCTCACTGGCAGACGTATGGACAAAGGGCTTGTTTGATGTCCTGGATGTCTGACCCCATTCAAAAAGGCGTATGAACCGAACTCCGGTCACCGGCTGCCAATGGATAGTGGACTCCCTACTCCACTCCTACTGCCTTGTAGGTCACACTTGGTTGTGTAAAGGCTAGAGCTGCACTCTCAAACAAAAAGCTGAGCGATTCTGGGGACATCACTCGTACCAAATTCCCACGAAACTTCATGAACTCTCTTGCGAACGACTCTAACCATGCTACGGCGTTCCTGGTGAGTGACGCGACCTGTGCTCACCCGGTGGTTTTTTCGTTGCTACAACATCAACCAAATTCCAGTACTGGTCCAACAACGTCGCCTTCAGTGGTTTGGCCATGTTCTGCGCCCACTAGATTACGATCTGGTCAAATCAGTTCTAAATCCCTCGCCATTACCATCTTGGCGATGTCGCAGGGGTGGACAGCTGAAAACATGGCTTGGTACAGTCAAGGCTGATACTGGAGTGCCTGGGGCTACAAACCGTCTACGGACTCCGTCTGTGGAACAAGAATTGGATAACCCTGTCGCAAAACCTTGCATCAGATCGCCGCGCCTGGGCAGCGATGATTTGAGATGTTCATGAAGCCGGCTCATCCTCCCGTAGGAGATAGCCGAAGTAAAGTAAAGTAAGTACAGCCTAGTGACCTTGAATCAAACAAGCATATCTCGCTAATTCAGTTTTCGATTTTCCCATCGATTGATTGAACCAAAGTGTGCTGATCATTGGCGGCATTGATATGTCGGCTCCTTGTGCAGATGCTTTAACGATGTCTGCTCGTGTAATTTGAAGTCAACTGGTGGATAGTAGTGATTAGCAGGTACATCCAGTTGGCGGATGAGTCCCATTCAGGACGAAATGCGAATCCTGGCTGGTATCCACTGCTAGTCACCATCCATCAAATTGACTTCAAGTTACATGACCAGACATCGTCGAAGCATCTGTAAAAAGAGCCGACGTGTCAACCTGAGGTCGAGCAGCACTTCAATCCAATCAATCGATGGGAAAATCTAAAGCTGAATTGAAGGGATGTGATTGGTTGATTCAGGGTCACTAGGCTATAATATGCAGGCTATTCTTTACTGCCGTTGCTGGGATTATCATTTTTTTATTAATCCTAAAGTTTTACCTCACTAATGGTAGCTAGCATGCTCGCTAACCATGCATGCATGTGGTCTGGCGTTCGACTACCGGCCAACGACAAACGCACTCCTAAACCTCGAGATTACCCTGGTTAAGAAGCACCACCTCATCAGTCACTAGTGAAGTCAGAGACGTTACCATTGAGCTATTCAGACTCGCGATTGATCTTCTGCAGGAATGTATTGGATTGTATCAAACACATGAAACCAGTCGTACAGGAAGTCAATCACGAACCCGAATAGCTCAGTGGTAACATCTCTGACTGCAGGAGGCATTGGGTGACGCGGGTTCGAATCTCAGAAAGGACATGAGTTCCTTTAAGGTATTTGGTAAGTGGAAACAAGCACTAAACCTAGGTCAGGTAGGGTTTCCTGACATTTCCTACAACAACTATCTTGAATACTTTAAAGCAAATATAAGCAAAATGTTGGGTTTCTAGAAGTTTCTAGAAGAAGAATCTTCCTTGAATTAAGAAATTCAGCATGCTTATTTCAAATGTATTCATCGATGTAATTATTATTTGATTGCTGGTAGCTAGCAATGGAAATCCCGGATGTGCATCTCCGCACCCTCACGGAGTGATAGTTTATTCACATACTGAAACTAGACAACCACTCACCACTGAACGGTTTCACTCTGAGAGGTTACTCTCATGCAATGGGTATTAGTGTCAGTTGTGTGCTACACTCAGTGGGAGCATAATCATTATTCGCAGGATATGCAAGTACATCAAGCTGAAGAGTCCCCGAGAGGACGAAATGAGCATTCTGAATTCCACGACTAGAGAGTAATATTATCAATAAAACACAAACTTAGCACTTTATTGGCAGGTAACTACTCAAAATCTTATAGGTTATGCAAGGGTTGGAATACTGTCTGGACGCCTAAAACGAAGCAGGTAGCTGCTGTCTCAAGGGACCACATACCCCATACCCATAAATCTTCGACTTGAAGTATGATGATTCATAGGGTGGTGAAGGAGCTACGTTGTCATGGTTGACAATGACCAAAACAGATTCACATACAATTCGATCTTTTGAGCCGTTAAAAGATTCTGGAGCCCATATAAATCATAGGTTTGGAATCAGGGTTTCCCTGAGTGTCCACCAGTCAGTCCAGTTGTAATCGCCAGACGTTTTTTAAAGTTACCCTTTGACTTTTGTGAGGGACACCTCCACGGGGATCAACTGAATAGCATTACATCGACCTTCTTCAGATATCATCGAAGCATTTGTACTATGATAGAGAAGATTTGTAGCTCAGGTGGATTACTTTGATGTGGTTGTGTTCTCTGAGCTGGATAGTTAATTTGCGAAGCTTTCATCACCCTACTAGGTGACATCTTCAGCGCATAGTTCAATTTGAAGTGAGCTTTTCGATTTCTCCACGAGTTTTTTAATCATCTCTCTTGGTGGTGACCTTAGACGTGATTGGCTGTTTTTGTGTGTTTTCACACCTTCTAGGTTACTTGTATTGTCACTCATTGTTTCTTTGACTTGAACTTTGACCGTTTGTGTGTGAGGTTTCTTTCTTATCGGTTGATAAATTTTGTCTATCTCGATGTGTCTATTGATTGATGATTCACTGGAATACCAGGCACGCTTCTAAAAATTCTCTAGCATTCTTGTTGTTTCCCCTGTCTAATATTTGAATGTTGTCCCAGTCGAATTGATGTCCGTGGTTGTCTGTATGTAGTGATATGAGGGAGTGGATATCATGTCTTTCGACGGCTAGCTTATGTTCGTTGATACAAAGACGAAGAGGAGGTGTGTCCACTTTGGCCAATGTAGTGTTTTTCGCAGTTGATACAATCTATTTTGTAGATGATGTTGGTTTTATCTACTTTTGCTGTTGAGTCTTTTGGTTGACATAGAATTGAGTGAAGTGACTTTGTTGATTTGTGTACGAAGTCAATTCCTAAAGGTTTGACGAGTCTTGTAGTGATTTCTGAGATATCCTTTATATATGGTAAGGCGATTTTCTTTGTGCTTTCCTTGGGGGCTTTTGGTTTGATAGGTTGGCTTGGGGGTATATGTCTTTTGAAGAAATTCTGTGGGTACCCATCGAGATAGACAAAATTGATCAATCGATAAGGAGGAAATCTCGCACACAAGGGTCAAAGTTCAAGTCAAAGAAACAATGAGTGACAATACAGGTGACCTAGAAGGTGTGAAAACACACAAAAACAACCAATCACGTCTAAGGTCACCACCAAGAGAGATGATTAATAAACTCGTGGAGAAATCTGAAAGCTCACTTCATTGAATTGAAGTATGCGCTGAAGATGTCACCTAGTAGGGTGATGAAAGCTTCGCAAATTAACTATCCAGCTCAGAGAACACAACCACATCAAAAAGCATTTGCACTAGTTTGACAGGGAGTGTGGGCGACATGACTGACACCACAGAGAGAGAGAGTAATTATTTCGATTAAATAGAATCTAATTATGAATCAATTAAAATTTTTTTCTTCTTCTTTACCTTCAAAATCAACCAATCCATCTTGATCCAGATCAGCCTCTTTAATCATTTCGCGTACTTCATCATCAGTGACAGCTTCACCTAGAAAGTGCATTGTCCGTTTGATTTCACCGAAATCAATCACGGAATCACCATTTTGATCAAATACCTTTAAGTAAGGTAAGAGCACAAAAAAAGGGAAAAAAAGAGGTGAGTTTAAAACAAGTGCAAAATTCACATTTTTCTTCTATGTGACTTATTATCCGGGAATGAAGGCGGCAGGACCAGATGGAATTTCTCCCCCCCTCCCCCGCCGCCCAAACAGACCCAGAGACTGTCGCAGATAATATGCCCACGCCATTATTGTAAAAGGTTTGGAAGGAAAATAAAGCTGCTCAACTACTGGAAGAAATTAAAAGTCAATCTGAACGAAGAATATTCTTTTCAATAATTTCCCGTCTTCAGGTTCTTACAATTATAAAATATGATATATTTGTTTGTTGTCGTTACGATAATGGCCATTTATGCGGCGGATACATTTTTTTTTAACGTAGAATAACAGATTAGTTATCCTGGGGTGTCAAAATAAGTAGTCGTAATTGTGTGACAAACGTGCTAGGCTGAATTCGATTACAAAATATTGTAAAACGGGAGACAATGGTGATTAATCATAATAGATTTGTAGAGTGTGGGGTAGGAAAATTGACAAGTTAGTTCAAGATTATAAAAGGTGTCAGGTGAGTGGCTAGTACAAAGTGGTCTGTATTAAACAGGAGATAGTAAGACTGCAATGAGAGCGGTTCATAATGAAATAACGAATATGTGAAATGAAACAGGTGGAGCCATATATTGAGAAAGGAGATAATATCACTAATAATAAGTCCGGATGGTATCAACGAAAAATTCGATAGTATTGAGAGAATGTTTGCATGAAGGGCATAAATTATGACGAATAATAATAATATTATTAATAATAATAATTGTAATAATAATATTTGTAATAATAAGCAAAGGGAAAAAAAGCCAAGAGGGTTAAGGGGAAGGAGCACTCTTGGTGAGAAGAAGAATCATCAATCTAAGTTTGGCCATAGGAGGAACAGTGTCTGGACGTGTTCTTTCTGGATACAAAGTTCCGGTTTAGTCGATCTTATTGCAATAACAGCTTCAGCTATGTGTAGGAGACGTAAGTGAATTGTGCGTGATAACGACTTCGGAATTCGGTATATATAACCCTGAAAGCTGTGTTGACATCGCATGTCGATGTCCAGTATCGACCAAGTGTGACAGCATCGAGCTTTTTCATGCATTTAATTTCCCCCCCCCCCGCCTGGTGAACCAAGCTGGTAAATGTTCTCGAACCCGTAGACGAACCTGCCTAATCGTGCGCCCAATAAAACTTGAACCACAGGAACAGTTGAAATGGTATATGCATGAAGAAGAGCTAAGGTTAGGTAAGACATCTTTGAGTTGCTGGATGAACATTGGACGGCTACTGAAGGATAGACACAGACGTGCAGAGCAGAAAGTTTTCTTGATCGCCCTGGTTAAACGTTGCGATAGAATCTCCGCAGGAGTATCTCCCTTGAATTGGAGACGTAAAAACTGGAAGAAAGGCTGACTACCTTATCAAGCTATCAAAAAGAGGCGACTAACGCCATCTCCACCGGAACAAGTTGGATTCAGGGAAGGCAAGTCATGTGCTGGTTATCAAATTGCAACTGTACGCATCGTCGTCATAGAACAAAGCATAGAATCGCAGTCAAACCTCTACATCAGTTTTATGAACTTAGAAAAGGCCTTCGGCAGTGCAGCGTTGATGGGGGAAGTAATTTGGAAACTCCTTCAACATTACGGTGTGCAGTGCTTAAGTCTTTATCAATGTCATTCAACGACTGGCTATACAACAATGCCATGTGTCAAGTGATCTACAACGGGAAACTCAGTGAGGTGTTTGAAGTGAGTCGAGTCGAAAGCACACTACTGGTTGTTGAAATGAGTAGTAGATAGTTTTACACAACAAAAATATTGGTCAGATGGTAAACGTGTTTGGCTCGTAACGCGTTTTCAACAGCTAGTGGAGTCAGGTGTGTGTGTGTGTGTGACGGTGTGTGGATAGCTGAAGAATCTCGAAACTAGGATAAAACAGATGTTTGACTGTGATATGCTGTCAGCTCACAAGGAATTTATCATCAAGCCGTACAATCGTATATACATGGCTATTTTTAAGAAGTTATATCCGGTGAGGGGATTGAATCATAGGTGTGAATGCATAAAATAATAATAATAATATGAAATGCAATTAAAACCAAAATGTTTGTGATTATAATCGTAGTTAAATGTCAAGTGGCAAAACAATTAATGTCATATGTAGAATAATTCATAGGATGGATAGAACTTGGAAAGGGTGTGCAATTATAAGATTAGTAGACAAATCGAATAAAATAAAATAAAAACGTTACGTAATATTGTGTGAAATTTGATAGCATAGAATTTAACGTTGTAAAAAAGAAGAATTGATTTAGAATGACAAGTGGAACAAGTGAAATAATACCGAGGATTATTAAAAGTGAGAGTAGCAATAGTAACAATTGACGTAATAAAGGAGGAGCATACAAATTGAATAGACAAAATGAAAAAATTGGTGGAGCAAAAATATGATTAGGGATTACCCTACTTTAACACAGAGGGATTGGGACACCACGAAAGTTGGAGGGGTTGAACGAACTTTTTCTGTACACAGAGATCTGGCTTTTCTGTTTCGATAGCCAAAGATGGCTTCAGCAATACAGATGATTCGGGTACGTAGTGATTTGGGTAAATTACTCTTTGCCTTGTAGATGACTTTGAAGGCGGAGGCTATAGAGATAGGGTGATCATTATCGACCAGATGTTCATCAATGATCGCGCTTCTTATTGCTCCACTTCCACCTCTTCATAACAGCCATGCAGGATAGTGTTCTTCCACCCTCTTGGACAAAACTCGAGTCGAACGACCGATATACCTAGCTTCACACGAGCAGGTGAATTGATAAACACACATAGAGTTGGTCAACAGCGGGATCTTGTCCTTCAGGTTATTGAACAATAATGGTCGACTAGTAAAGGCTATTCTCAGGGATGCAGCAGGGAATGTTCTTTTCAGGGACTGTGATATCCTTCGTTTCATGATATCGGAAGCAAAGTCCCATTTGAATTCCAAGCTCATGTAAAGTGTCTTCTTGGATACGGTTGATAAGTCACGTTTATATAGGATTTGAATGTATACTCTTGTCTATAAAACGTGGTGGAAATATATTTTCTATTAGGATTTTCCTCAAGATGTATAGCTCATCTTCCACAGTAGCAGGGTTACAGCTTGATGATAAATTCGTTGAGAAGAGTCTCTTCGCTGAATCTATGTGTTACAATGGGAATTTTCCATGAGTTCACAAGTACAATCAATTCATTCCAATCTACCATGATGGAGTGATATACTAGGTTGTAAGTTCGTCTAACTTTCTTGACTAAAATGCCACTCCAGAACACAGCACAATAAAATCAGATGACCGCTTCGAATTATATCTCCCACAATGAGGCAGACTATGGAAACGACAAAAATCTTTCTTAGACATAATACATACATACTAGATTGTTTTTAAAAAACCCTCAGAAAGTGAAGCCATCAATAGACGAATCAAAAACTCTCCGATAAGGTTCTTGCTAGTGTTTAGTGTTGAACGTTGAATAGTTGGTTTATTCGAACTGGTCTTCATATTGGAGGGGGAGACAAGAAGGCTGTCATTGCTAAATCGTGTACTGGTTGCCCAGAAGATTGAACAAATACGATCAGAAGAATATTCTTGTATATCATATTAACGTTTATTTACAAACTTTAGCACTGATTAACTAATGTAAATCTGTATCTTCATGGCGTTGCGCAACCGTTTTTTTTGTTGTTCCGCATCGGTTACAGTGCATAGTGTACTGAGTATTCGGCTTGTCTGTCTATCTGTCTGTCTGGTTTCAACATACAACTTTGCACAGATGTGCAGCAGCTCAAGTCACCACACTCCACTCCTTGTAGTACACAAAGCAAGAGAAGAAAGTAGAAGAAATGCATAATAGAGACAGTAGACAAAGGAATAGTAATATCGAAGAACAATTTAGTTTCATTGGGTATTATAAGTCACAAGGAGTAGATGCATCTGCGCCATTCACAACGAAGATTTTTAGCCATATCACCGATTGTTTCCAACCATTGGTTTTTACCGTCCTGAGGACCCCAACCAGTCAGGAAGTCTACACCTTCCCACGTGGCAGCCCGGCTTAAACTAACTGTTGTGGATTTCGTTGAATGGTGAAGCCATGTTTTGGTTTGACCACCAATGGGTCTTTCCCAGCTTGACCCTATGTCAGCTAACATTGGCCATTGTCGAGGAAGGCGATGGTTAGGCACACGTAATACATGTCCTAACCATCTATCTCTCAGTCGATGTAACTTCACAGCCTCGTCTATTGATTTCCCTTGCTCCTTACCTAGCACTCGACCGATGCCTAACCTCAATATTGCTCACCCTATTATACCACCTAATTCACACGGCAGACAGAACGCAGGTACGCATGACCAAAGACAGCTAGCTGTCCTTTTCACGTCTTCCACTGTCAATGGCCAGGTTTAGCTCACAGCCATAAAGGAGGACGAATCGAACTACTGAGCAGTACACCCGCCCTTTGGTCGAAAGCCAGCCAGATATCACGTCTACGTCTAAGCTTAATCTTCTGAAACCAGCAATAGGTCCATGTTCTCAGTGATCTGGATATTTGACAGTTATCATGTCAGTATATGCAAAAATCATAACTTCATAGCTAACAAAGAAACTTTGCTTGTCCTAAAACACTCTGAAATAATCACATATGATTTGAGAAGTAACCATAAGTTAACGTGAACACTCAAAACACACAAAATCGACAATATAATAATTAGTTTGAGAATAAAACTATCAATTAGAGAAATCTCATTTTCGGAGGGTTAGAGCGGGGAGAGGGGATTTTGGTGAGAAGTAGAAAGACACTGAAATAAGAGACTGTTCCCTCACACTGAACTCAAAAGAAATCCTGAATTTTTCGACAAGATAAAAAAAAGTAATATCTCAGACATATAATTTCACTATTTCCCATTTTTTCTGCAGAGATAATTCCTTCATGAAATAAATTTAGACCCAGCTATTTCTGACTCTTGAGGTGGTGGAAGAAACTAACAGAAGAAATAGAGAAGTGTCTTTAAACTAGGCTAAAAATGGGTGGAAAAACAGATTTATTGAGCTTATCAATACTACTCATAAGTAGTATGGGATGAATTAGACAATATTTTCTTGGATTGTCTGGTCAAACAGATGATAAACATCTTCACAAAGCCTAAACACATTCGGAAAGATACGGACCTAGAATACAATTCAGCACACACAAACAGACACACATCATTACCACCAAAGGAAGTAACTGTGGCCAAGAATCCTATGAATAGAACTAAACGTCCAGTTACTGAGGAGGAAGAAGAGACCAACAGGGAATTGGTTCAGTCTTCTGTTGAATCAAATACTCACCTCAAAAGCCTTTTCCATCAGGGGATATTTAAAGAGCAAAAAGAGACGGGTGAATCAAAACCTGATGTGCTAAGAATTGGGTCCGAACTGTGGTGATTCCATACGGCAAACAAACATCGGATGAAATAAAGCGAATCCTTAACAATCATGACATAAGAGTCCATTTTCGCACCTCATCAATGGTGAAGATTGAAGAATACCAGCAGAATTGTGTGAACCAAATAAACTATGAGGATTATGACGCCGTAAAACGTAGGAAGGACTTCGAGACACGTCAAAATTGTGTGAGTACAGGAGCATTAACAATGTCTAAAGGCAGTTCCGAACATATCTGCAGATTTGAAGAAGCTAGAAAGCGGATCGCTGGTTGCACCACCCTTGATAGAAACAGGATAGAAGATGGATTTTGGTAAGGCCAAGGTTCTACAGAAAAGCTTTGGTTCATATAAAGAAATTCCATTATGGGTAAATTTTATTTTGATAGAGTCTCACAGTGTTATACAATAATATTTACTGTATAACACTGTGAGACTCTATCAAAATAAAATTTGCCCATAATGGAATTACACTCTACCTCAGTGCCTAAGTTTTATTCTTATATCATATAAAGAAAGGCTGACTTCAGAAGACCTCCTTATATATCGGTGAATCCCCAAAAGCTTGAACAGACGTGACGGTGTGATGTTTACTGATATATATATATATATATATATATATATATATTTATATATATATAGCAAGTCCTGTATCACTAATCCATCATACTTAATCTAACTTCCCGATTGTCTAATTATTTTCTTATGGAGAAGCCAACAAATGATTTGTTCCCTCATATAAACACACATACACACACACACACACCAGAGTATACCGCATGTTTATGTTTACCATTTTCAGTTGTCCATGACCTTGAGCTTCAGTCAACCGTAATCACTAAATATGTGATCCTAAAGTACGCACTGTTCACCCTGTTTAACAAACGAGCTCGCCACGTGACCAGAAAGTCATGGGTTCGAACCCCAGCAAATGCGCACTGATGAAGTGTCGCAAACAACTAGGACAAAAAAGTTGGTTGCCCAGTACTCCCTATAGGTTAGTCTTCCAGTGGTTCTCTAACTGATTTCAGCCCCTAATCAATCCTTTAACCAATCAAATCAATATTAGTCTATGGTCAAATTTTATTCAGAGTTCATTTAAAATGAATTCAAAATTGACTCCCCTCACCGTCCACAACGAACTGACATAGTCAATCCAAATGTCTCCAGCATACTTCAATACATGAACATTACAAACTGTTTTTATAACTCATATACTTACAGAATTTCATCATGAGCTGACAGCAGTAAGCTAATCACCGGGAGTACTGGACAGCCGTTTCGTCACCCTCGTTTTGGACTGTTCATCAGTATGCACTCACCATCGACAGGGTTCAAACCCACGACCTTCCCGGTTACAGGGTGAGCTTGTAGACTACTTAGTCACCGCGACCCGATCCAGTGGTCAACCCATGAATTCCAACTTCTGTCAATTTACGATATAACCCCACTGGCGCCAATCAATGTCACCGTTGACGCTTATTTATCTGCTGTACCCCAAACAGGGAGAACGAAACACCCGGCTGTTCAGTAGTCCCTGCTGGTTTCCACTGGTTCTCCAACTGAAATCAATCCTTGATCAGACTTCAAAACAATAGAGAGGATTTGTAGCTCAGGTGGATGACATTGGACTAGTTGTGTTCTCTAAGCAGCTTGGCAGTTGATTTAATTACGAAGCTTTCATCGTCCCCCTTCTAGACAACATCATCACTTCAACGCAGGTTCATTTCAATTCTCCATGAATCATGATATAATTGTATCTCCTGGCAGTTACTGTCGTGACCGACTGGTTGTTAATTTACGTCTCTATTGATCATTTCTGTTATTGACTTGGAATTCGAGCCTTCTTGTCCTGCGATGATTTACTTTCCAGTAGCTGGCAAAATTTGGTCTATCAAGATAATGTGTGTGTTTGTTAATCGTTGGCTGATTCACTTGACTACGAGGCTTGTAGGGATTCCTTGACTGCGTTTTTAAGCGTTTCGTCTATTTAAAACCTCTTCAATATACAATACAAATAGCTGAAGCTGTTATACAAAGATTAGAGCTAATAGCCCTAACTATAATTATACACTATAAATCTGGGTACATTACTTTGATGATACTTTTATAATATTCAAGTGTTGGTTTGTAGGGATTTGATTGGTTACAGGATTTTCATCATGAGCTGACATTGGTTAGGGAATCATTGGAAAACATTGGAGCACTGGACAGCTGTTTCGTCCTAGTTTGGGACTCTTCAGTAGTACGCACCCACCGGGGTTCGAAATGTCATTTGGAATGTACTCATAAATAAATAAACAGCATATTTGAAGACGTCAGATTCACAAGAGGAGAAGAAGAAGAATTAGACGGCAACAAAATTCCATTCTTAGATGTCTTACTTAATCAAGAGAACTAGCACAGGAAATTTAGAAACACAAGTATATAGAAAGTCAGCGCATACACTGACCAAACACTTAACTATAACAGTAATAAGCCAATCACTCACAGAATAAACTGTGTGTAGACATCGTTTCGAAAAGTGTTCAAACACAGTGTAGCACACCATTCAAGGGTGTTGAAGAGATTCGAAGAGAAATACTTACTAACCATCTTCATAAGGAATGGATACCCTTACCACAATTTCATCAAAAAGTGTGTTTAAACTCGAGCCACAGCACCATTAATAAGCCAACATCCTACCACATTTAAAAACTCTCTCTGAAATAACTAACGGCTAGCTAATTAAGATCGTTAGAAATAGATACAGCACACAAGCCAGCCAGCCATACAGCCAGCACAATCACTTCACATTCGATATTGTGCAAACCGAAAGATCCATCCAACAGGAAAAGAAGATAAACATTAATACCATTTACAAAATCAACTGCATGCATGAACTGCAATAAACATTACATTGGTCAACAAATGTGGGCGTCCACTTCGAATCCGAATGGAAGAACACAAATCGGCTGTGAAAAGGCATGAGATACAGTCTTTTGTATCAAGTGCATGTGGATAATTATAGCCACCAATTTGATTAGGATAAAAGGGAAATTTTAAATAGAGGAAATATAAAAACGACAGTCAGGGAATCCCTACAAGCCTCGTACTCAAGTGAATCAGCCAGCGATTAACAAACACACACATTATCTTGATAGACCAAATTTTGCCAGCTAGTGGAAAGTAAATCATCGCAGGACAAGAAGGCTCGAATTCCAAGTCAATAACAGAAATGATCAATAGAGACGTAAATTAACAACCGGTCGGTCACGACAGTAACTGCCAGGCGATACAATTATATCATGATTCATGGAGAATTGAAATGAACCTGCGTTGAGGTGGTGTTGTCTAGAAGGAGGACGATGAAACCTTGAGAATTCAATTCAGCTCCTTAGAGAACACAAATCATTCAAGATCACACTTTGAAATTGATTTCTGTTTTGCAGAGTATAATCAACATCACCATCATCACAACTTACGTTGAATGCATCACGAAGTTCATCATCAGGAGATTTCGATCGTTGATTTTGTGAATATCTTCGCATCATTCGGAGGAATTCATCAAATTCCACTGTTCCATTACCTAAAAGGAAGAAAAAGAAAATAAGTGGAAATCAATAAATTTAGAATAATATATTATATATATAATATTATTATGTGCGTCGGTGGCACAGTGGTTAGGACTCTTGCCAACCATGCATATGGTCCGGGGTTCGATCCCCTGCCTACGCACACCTGATATCTATGGTCGGCCTGCAAAATTTGGGCTACAGATATCACATGCTGAAAATATCATACCTGTACGAGAAAATACGGTGTGGAATCAAGCTGTAATCAAAAAAAAATTAGTTTGAAGAAAGAAAGAACGAACATGTTTGCAGGATAATACGAGCTCGTTTTATTTCGTGGATTCTCATCAACTGCATATATCCTAAACAAAATCAAATCAAATTATGGGTTTCAAGAAAGTTGTGGAACATACTTTTTCATAATTACTTTGAGTTATAGATAGAAGGCATAAGAAACATAATTCCAGAATTTGATGTAGGTAGACAGATTATTCGATGTCAAAAACAACTAATTATATATATAGTGGAATGAGATAAGAGGGGTAAGAGTTCAGATTTCTATTGGAAAACAACACAGATTAGTTACAGGGATATTACAGGGTCAGGGTCAGAGAACAGAGTGAATTTACACATATTGTGGTGGAGAGTTTAAGAGGGTGGGGGTGAATAGTGAAGTAATGATGAAAAAGTATGTTCCACAACTTTCTTGAAACTTATAATTTGATTTTGTTTAGGATGTATGCAGTTGATGAGAATCCACGAAACAAAAAACGAGCTCGTATTATCCTGCAAACATGTTCGTTCTTTCTCACTTCAAAATAAAAATTATATAATCATTATAATCGCCGATGACTTTGGGTAGTGAGAATCGATTAGGGGATTCTAGAAGATCTAGATTTCGCAGATTATTCATGTTTAATGTCACACACACACACACACAAACTCGAAGACTTGGAGGTAAAAACAAACAAACAAACAAACTGGCTGAAGAGGCGAGTCAGGCAGAGAAGGCATGTTTCCAGGTGAACATAGAGAAGACAGAAGTGATGAAGATAACCATCCGACCAACCAACCAACTAACCAACAGCAGCAACAACAACAACTAGCACCAATCACTATCAGTGGGAGAGATTTGACAAAGGTTACTTCCTTCAGTTATCTGGATAGGAAGCACGATTTCAAACACAGATATGGACACCACGGATGAAGGTATCAAAGCAAACCAACCAGAATCAGAATAGGCAAGATACACCTTCATCAACCTGAGACCAGTTTGGAAGGAAATCTCCTGCACTCACTCACTCAACCAGCCAGCCAGCATAAACAACAAGATTCGGATTCTGTTCAGCGGATTCTATATGAGTCACAAACTTGGCATGCCTGTCATAAAAAACATTTCCAACAAGCCATGTACAGACTTTTATCAACAGCTGCCCACTTCACAAGGATGGCTCCATGCTGAAGATCTAATGGATGACCAGCATGGCCGGTGGGTCAGAAAGAAATAGCAACAAGAAAATCTGCAGTGGAATAAACCAACAGGCGAGATCTGATTGCTCAACAAGTGGATATTTAGGAACAAAAGAGAGATGGATTGATCGGGAATACGTTGAGGAGGCCTTCGAATGATATAGCGCGAAGTACGGACCAGTGCTCGATTGGAATCCCAACTGGAAGTGAGAAGAGGGTCATTGGTGCGAAGGTGACATGTAGGAGATCGTGTGGCGAGGAGGATATCAGAGATTATGGTCAGTCACGGAGCCAACCAAGTGAAGAGGACAACAGAGAATTGGAAAAAGTGGAGATGTCTCGTTGAAGTCGTATATTCAACTCAGCACCCGATGAAATAATAACAATAATGATAATTAATCAATTATTAAATTATTACTATTGTTCCCTTGGGTTCCTAGTGGAACATACGGCTTCAACTACACATCTCCACTTGCTTCTGTCTTCTGCTGTACTTTTCACCTGCATCCATGTTAATACATAATGCTTCAACTCCTCTTCACACAATCTCCTCCATGTCACCCTTGGACGTCCCACTCGCCGCTTCCCCCCAGGGTTCCACTCGAGCATTGGCCTGACGCGCGATGTCATCCAGCGGCCTCCTCAGCGAGTGTCCAATCCATCTCCACTTCCTCCTGCATATTTGTAGGGGCAATTGGTTCTTGTTTTGTTTCTTCCCATAGTTTCTTGTTTTGTTGGTGATTCTTTCCGGCGGCCATCTGATCTTCAGTATAGAGCCAGGGAAGACAGTTGTTGATAAAGGTCTGCAACAGGCTGTTGGAAATATTCTTTGTGACACACTGGCCAAGTTTCTGATCCATCCGTATAGAAGAACTGACTGACTTGACGTTTGTATTGAAAATCCGAATTTTGTTGTTGATGCTGAATGAGTGACGAAGATTTCCAGATTGGTTTCAGGTTGATCAATGTGTTTCTCGCCTTCCCGATTCTCGATTGGACATCCTCGTCCGTCCGTTTCTCCTGTAGTTGAGACAATGCTCCCTAGATAAGTGAATGAAGTAACCTCTTTCATCAAATCCCTCCCGTTGATGGTGATTGGCGCTGGATCTTGCTGCTGCTGTTGCTGTTGTTGGTTGGTTATTTTCATAACCTCCGTCTTGTCTATGTTCACCTGGAGTCCTGTCTTTGCTGCTGCTTTTTCGACCGGTTTGTTGGTTTTCGCTTGTAGGTCTTCGATTTTGTGTGACATCAAACATAATTCATCCACGCGCGAAATCCAGGTCTTCTAGATTCTTCATATCGGTCCAGGATATCCCTGTCTTCTCGTTTCCCACTGTTTGACGCATAATCCAGTCCACCACAATTAGGAATCTCATTGGTGATTATAAGCACCCTTGTCTGACTCCTGTGTTTACTCCAAACGCCTCATTGAGTTTTCCGTTGTGGATCACTTGACATGTGCCGTTGTCGTACAGCTGTTGAATAAGGTTGATGAATATTTGTGGTACGCCGTAGTACTCGAGTACTTGAGGAAATAATAATAATGATAATTAAATTATTTCAACTGATTAAAATAACTGACTAGTGAATGTCACAGGTGACATTCATTGTTGAACACTCTCCGACATTCACACACGCCAACCTTCCCGACACACACATACACACAGACAGGCACACTTAGACACAAATTATTCCAGATAAACACTAACAATAACAGGGGGAGAAATATTTGAAAAAAAGATTAGACAAAATTTGTTAAAGATCAAAATTAAGTAGGAATTAATTAGGCAGGCGCTGAAGAATATAAATAGAAGATAAATAGGAATGTACTTGATGAAATTAAATCCCCTGAAGACTAGTCACAGTCACACAGACACGCACGCACGCACACACACACACTTAAAAACACACACACGCATACAAAAACAAACATACGCATGAATGGATGGAGGCATCTGAAAGTGAATGTAAGAAATCAAACAGCTAACTAGCCTTTAAGCACCTAATTAACTAACTAACTAACTGCCTATGGATGATGTAACTAGTGGGACATTGAAATCACCGTTATGTGTGCGTGTGTGTGTATGTGTCTCGTCAAGATCATCCATCCCTCTCTGCACACTCCAGAAAAAAGACATTCATTGTCTGCGCTGCATAATTGAACTTCATTGAACATTAAGTAAAATTGGCGGGATGTTTAAAAAAGGAAGGCGGTAATGTAATTTTTAGTTAAATATGTACAGCCAGCCTATTTGCTTAAATTGGCAGGTAAATTATGCTAGTTAGCTTTTGTGCGGAAGACACGTAAAAAAAAAAGAATTTCATTATTATTATTGTGGGGGATGTATGTCCTGAAATGGTAGTAACTGCGACGCAAAGTGTGTGTGAACAGAGAGAAATTTAAGATTCTTATTATTCTTACCTAAACAATGATAAAAATGTTGATATAAGGATAAAACTTGGGCACTTTGGGAGAGTACAACTCCATGAAGTACCTAGATTGCCTTGCCACTTCCAATTGTGTCTACCAATTCAACTGCCATTGCCCTAGGAAGTTGATTTTTCGTGCTACAACGGGGACGTTCCCCAGTATGGCTAAGTAAAGGTGTAGTAAAATCCATCAACAGTTCGATACTCGTCCTTCTGGTCCAAACCGGCTGGCCACAAAGCCAGCATTGAAGAATCCTTCTCCATCATATACAGGGTACTAAATAAATTGCCAAAAACATTGAGATACCGCATGCTCCAAACAGCAGACGCTATCGCAATTCGCCTCAAACAACCAGTACTTTGTGTTCAAAATAAGCAAGTCCAGCCAGCCACTACTACTGCCCTAGCCAGTCTTCAGTAGAGACTATAAATTCATGAATTTGTATTATTATCTTACCGATATTCATTCAGTGTAGGGTAATGTTGATACTATCGAACTGTAATCTATTTGTAAGATCAATTCAATTCCCATGCTTGAATCAAGTCAACCTGTCCCGGATCAGCCTAGCGTTGTTGCAACCCAATTTTCCATGCCTAACGTGTCTATCCCCCCTTGTTTAATGAACTGTGTCTGTGTTTTTTTTACATCGATCTGTTCAGTCAGACCGTTGAACTCATGACCCAATCAGAGTATTTTGTGAACTGTTATTTTTTTTGCTGACCCATGTCTTACTTTGTACTATTCTCTCGAGTTTATCTTATTTATTGATCTTCATCTGTATCAGCCTACCTGGTTAAGTAGCCAATTAAATTCTATCCTTGTGCTTAGGCTCTGTCTATCTCTTAACCACTCTCTGTTCTATGCCCTGCCTTACTTGGGTTCATTCTTCTACTGACTGCTTACTTGAACGGTCGTGTCTGATTCCGGCTAGTTCGCAATTTCGGCTTTAACGTTATTCCGCTCTGAATGGCAGTACCTTGCTTTCTGTTAAGCGTTGTGCTTTGTACTCTTGAAACCGTTAAGGTTTGTTGTATATATATATGTAATTATTGATTTGTTTATTAATAGTACCGTAGAAACAGTGACCGGCCTCTTGTTTGTTCTGGACCGGGA